ATATTGTTCCTATTTGTTTAAGAATACCATGAATGTTTATTTTGAACATGTGTTTCTCGTGGTCAGTGGTCTTGTTTCTCCACTTTCTCTCCCTCAGTCTTTCGGGTCAGACTTCAGGCTGACCTTGTTTTATAGAAAGTATAAGTAATTGGCTGTAAAGCTTCCAGGCACTAAAAGCTAAAGAGCTGTCTGTATTTTCTGCTGATTATCTTCTAATGGTTTCATATTAGCTGAGCAGCGTCACACACCACATCAGTCCTCTCCCTGTCATATGGAGACCTGCTGGGGGTGGGTGTTAGAGCTCAAGCACAGATGTAATGGAAGGAAGTGACAGATGATGTGTGGGAATATACAGCTCCAAGTTTAGGGTCCTGCTGCTTCTTGCTATTTATGATGATGCTTCCGAACCAGATGCATGTGAAAATGTATTGCATACCATCTCTATTGCTCTACACAGAAACTCACCAAATATCACATTCTACAAGCCAATAACAAGGTTATTTGAACAAGAAATGTGAAAATATACCGTTTCTAGAGCAGAGAGGTCGTGACAGAAGACAGAGTGGATTAAAATGGACCATAATGGAGAACTATTTGCTGGTGTTTTCTCTTTAGAAGGTAGAAACTGGAGTTTACAAAAGAGGTGAGTTATCTTTAGAACAATAATGTTTCTCTTGGCACAATGGCACACTATTGAGAGAGGTTCTCCTGCTGAATTATTTATAATAGATCACACAACGTCAGAAGTTCCATCTGCAGTTTAAGAATGTACACATGCATGCAATAGACCCCATCAAGGCTATGGAAAAGCAAAGATAAATGTTTTTTATTATTTTTTATTTTACTATCAATAGGAAATCATGTATGTTGGTGAACAATGTAAATATATTTACTACATGTTAAGTCTGTGATTTTTATAGTCAGAGTTTTCAAATATGTAGGAGTCAACAAAGTGCCGCTCTGTGATGCCTCACTGCCTCTGTTCAAAGAATGATTTCATGCTCAATATGACAGATCTGAAAAGGGACAAGGCCATTTTTATTTTGCTCTTTCTCTCGTCAAATGCAAAGATCAAAAACAAATAACCAGAAAACAATGAAGGAATGCAGAAAGTGTATAGAAAAGGATTTCTTTTTTGTTATATTCAATCGGTTTTGTGAAATTGCAATTGCTTTTTGTAAAATGGAAGGGTAAAATTATCTTACTATATTTACCTTAAAGCTGCACTAACTGACTTTATTTTTGTATTCATTACGAAAATTCCATCCATATCCATGCAATGCATTGGGATATACGTCCTTTTGAAGATTAAGTAGCGCAGATTTGTGCTGGCGTGTCATTTAATTTTAGATCGAGTTTTCATGAAACAAGTAAGAGAATGTGTTTCGGGTCCACTGGCCCCCACTTTCATGAGAAAATCTACAGGTCTCTTGTTAGCACAGACACCCTGGGAAAGCCATGTTCCAGCTTCTTCCCTCTGGCAGAAGATATCGCTCTCTGAGATGCAGGACATCTCGTTACGCTAACAGTTTTTATCCACAGGCTGTTATCAGTGTGAACAGAGCATTTTAATGATTTGCACTTGTTTTGAACTGTTTTAGTCGATCGATTTCACAGTGACATTTGTTTACTGTTTTATTTGTTTTATTTTTGTTTTATTTATATTTGGGGGTAGTGGGGGGCAAAAGCTTTTATTTCTCTCTGTGAATTTGAACAAAGAAATCCATCAGTATTTATACATTGATCAAAGAGAACATACACTTTTAATCACCAAAACAAATGTAATATATATTCCATCTGATTGTTTGGAACGTATCAAAAGGAATATAATATTGTTTGAGTTACATACAGAACCATTTTCAGTGTGCATTCCCCTGAGAGCTGAGCAATAGGTTATTATCAGGTATTACTATATGTTTTTAAATACAATACGAACAGTTGATTTGTGATTGGAAGTGGAATTTGGCTCTTTATATAATTCTGCATTTGTGCTTTTTATCTTCATTTGTTTGGCACAGTGCATGGTAAAAAGACAGACAAGAGTGAAAACTAATCAGATTATGAGGCTGAAAGTGAAAATTTTAAATTGTGAAGTTAGTATTTTTTGAGCGCAGGTTAAACCCGCCCCCACACATTCCTGATTGGATGCAATGAATTACAATCCTTGACAACTGAGGCCCTTTGTCATTAGTAGTATTATCCTCCAGCCAATCTTATTGGGGATGATTATTCCAATGGGAAGGAACTGTTTTAAATATATTTGTTGGTGAATCCTTTGCTGCACAGTGGGAATGAGGAGAACACAACCACAAAATAAGTTGTTGCAAGGATTGTAACGTTATGCAAAATGAAACTCTAAACAAAAGACAAGATCCAAAATTAATGAGAATAATAGGATAAAGGCCGGACGAAGCAGAAGCTTATTTGGCTCCAACCCCACAACACACGACACCAGCTTCTTCCTGTCCCTCTCTGATGCTGCTGTTCCAAAGACCACTCCGTACAAGGCCGATGCCACCCCAAAGTCATAGAAGGTCTTCAGGAGTTGTACGTGCACTCAAAAATAACTGATCCTACTCAGCAGGTAGTCGGCTCTGACTCTTCTATAGTTTGTGTCCAGTCCTGTTTGTGGTTTAGATGAACACCCAGGTACTTGTACAAGTCCATTCTCTCAATGTCCCTTGCCTGGACAGTCCCCTAGGGGCCCACCACCCTGCAGGTCAACTCAAAAACTGAGGTCTGTCTGTGACGTAATATAATAATAATAATAATCTTTTTTTAGTCCAGAATCCAGCCAGTCAGGTCACAGTCCACTCCAGATGTCTCCAGCTTGTCTCTCAGAAGTCACAGGTCAGGATCCTCATGGTGGTGCCGGGTTTCTATTGTTGGGACAGCGTACAACGTCCTTCACTCCAATGCCAGGACGGGACGTGAACTGCATCAGATCCATCACTGAGTTCACCATGAAAGGAAGGTGGCCCAGGACCAGCCTCTCCAGTCTAAACTACAGGGAAATATGGTTCATGATGTATATTATTTTCAAAATGAAATGCAATTGAAGTTGCAGAAACATTGATAAAGATTACATCATTATAACACATTGTCAGATATCAACTAAAACTACCATGTAATACATACAATACATTGCGGAATGATGTCTTACACAGACTTTAGGCTCTTCACATTTTCTAGTCTAATCAGTTTCCAGGCATTATTTTTCAAGTTGATGCATTGCCTTGAACAAGGCCTTTCGAATAGAAAGATAAGGGCAAGAAATTAATTTCCTTTTAAGCAACTGTCAGGCAATTATTCTCGCCTTTAATAGCATTTATCATATCGTGTCCAAGAGCATGTTGTTCTCTAATCCTTTTCTGAATTTTAGTTTGGATTAATGTGCAGCAGCAGTGAGAATAATCACAACTAATGTAATGCATGCACTACTCTGCACACTGTTAGCATTGATCATATTTTGTTAATGTAATTTATTCATTTGTGAAACTATAATGAGCTGTAGATACTGAGGTTCTCTTGGGAATGATAGAATCAAACTTACACCATGACTGCTCAACTTGCAATGACAGAATTAAGGGATTGTGCATAATGGTTATTATTTTTTTTTAACACAGAAGGGGCATGAACACTTACACTTTTATTTTAAATAGAGTTTATATGTTTGCATATTTTACCTTGAAGTGACCCAGTATTTGTAAGAAGTTCTGCATGGCGTCTTTACCTCGTCTCTTAGATGCTGTAGGATCAATGGTTTGGAAGGTGCTCTCTGTTGTCGAACACACACCAGAAAAGCTACAAAACAATTGATCCTAGAGAACTGTAGACACAACCCTGATCAAAACTCTTACAGCCACTGCGTCAAATACGTACAAATATAATCTGGCAGCAATTTGCAAAGAAGGTTGATTGTTTTGTACAACGTTGAGGCAGATGTTAGATGAAGAAAGAAATGGTTTTGTCCATGAGTAAAAGAAAATATTTGCTTAGTCTATAGCTTCCCTTGCGATGTTCAGGTTTTTGTTTGTGCTCTTCAAAGTCTAGACCTAGGGCAGTGTATTTTTATCATTTATATCTTAGATGTTTATTTTTAAAGCTGAGAAATGCTTTTGTTTAGAAGAGCATTAATGGGAGCCTGCTGTGTTTGCTCAGCGAGACATGCCAAATGTGAAAAACAGAACCAGCCGACTGTTTTTTTTACGGCAAATTGTAGCTGAAGTAAGGGTTTGTTTACATTTCAACCAGCATATTAGTCCAAATTGTTTTTTTGTGTGCAAATGAAACTCTATAATTGAGTGTTTTGTGAGTTGAACATTAATGCTCCACTGAGTCAAAGGAAGCTCCTCCACATCTGGATTTTAGAAGCCTCAATGAGAAGAGACGAAGGCATTTGATGAAGCCGCTTGAGGCACTTAACACATTGTTTTTCCTATTTTGCTATTCAATATTTGTGTATTTGTATCAAGTGTCAGGCTTTTCTGTGCTGTCTAAACTATCAACATATCTGTGTGAACATAAGCCATGCTCTACTGCAGCTGTGGACTGACAGTGCTTTTCAGTGAGGCTGGCCTTTCCAACATTGTTCTTGAAGGTTGACCTATGACAAAGATTTCAATTGGCTCTGTACTATCTGGCTCCAGGGCCACACCACTGCTGACAGTTGGGCGCTGCAGACCACCGTCATATTGCCCAAATGTCAGTCAGCCCCTAGAATCCAAGTTTTAGTTCTGCCTCTCCCCCACTTCTATACTTCCATTCATAGAAATGCCATTATGTATCACTGCTGCTGTTTTCTCCACTACCCATAATCATTCCTACTGTTTTCACCGATCAGTTCCTCTGCTTTGACCCCACGATTTGTCACCACAAATGAGTGATGTGTTAAAAGCCTGCGATTACTGTGGCAGTCCATCAGAACATATCGAATAAATAGATCTTCATTTCAGCGTGGCCATTTGACTGAAGAAATATCTCTGATGACTCCATTTAAAATGCTGTTTGTTGAGACTATGACCGTCCCATGGATTAGAAACATGTGTACGTAACTTGATTTGTTGTCTCTATTTGTGCAATATACTGTATGTATGATTAACTTCACTTCTGTTGAAACACCAGACTTCCCTAAGTTTGTTTAACCCTTGTATTATGTTGAAAAAAAAATGACATTGATTATGTTGCGGGTCATTGACCCGTACTGTGTAAATGCACTCAAAACAGTCAAGAAAATAGTTTAAACCAATAAGAACTTTATTTTAGGTTATATAAATATTTAGAAAAGTGACATACAATACATTTTTAATTCCAACGCTATATTTAAGAAATATTTAGTCTAATCCTCTTGTCCTCCTCTCGGGTCAAAATGACAATTCTTTCCTCCTGCCATGCTTTCTCCTTACTTTTTCTCATCCTGTTTTCCTTCTCTCTGTTCATCCTCATCTATTCCCTTCTTTTCTCTTCCTTCCTTCCTTCCTACCTTCCGTACGTCCTCCCTTCCTCTTTCCTTGACCAAAGATTCGTCCTCTGATTCCTCATTATCGTAGGAAAATTGACAATCTGAATCAGCAATAACATTGTCCTCTGTCTCTGAAAAATCCTCTGTTTCTGAAATCTCTTCCTCTACATCATTATCCCAGTTAAAAATCTGTGATAAAGCCTCCTCAGATGTCATCCTTCTGGAGCTCATTTTTGGTGAGTTTGTCTAGAGCCTAGCGCACATCGACAGAGTAACTGGCGACAACTAGTTGCAAGGCGGCTTTTGGCAACTGAGAGTAGATGATGGAGATGATCCATCATCTACTAGTTGTCCTCAGATCCGGAGATATCACCGATGTGCTCCAACAACGTGTGTGTATTGCGTGTATTGCGCCCTCTACAGTTTATGTCAGAAAACACACTGTAGTTGAGGCCAGTTGCTGTCGATGTACGCGCTGTTATTCCCGAGACTGGTCTGCTACAGGAGTTGCCTGTTTTCGCCAGATTGTCGATGTGTGCGGGGCAGCAACTCATAGACGACGGATATAATCCGTTGCCAGTCCAATGTACGCTAGGCAAAAGAGATGACATGAGAACAGTGCCAAGGGCAAGTGTGAGAAAGTTCCCTCTCTTCACACACCTGGCTCTGGGTCTCAGGGGCAATCAAAATACAATGTAAAAGAGACATGTTTTTTTTGGATCTGAACAACTATTTACCCACATTAAAGCATCTGGGTCAAAATGACCAGCAACATCATCTTTGTATACAAACGCTACACAGACATTCCACTACACATCAAAGTGTCCAGATTTTACACATCAGTTCATGCCCCTTGATGAGGAAAAGTCACCATATTTCAGCAAGAAAAAGAAAGGATAAGCAGTACTTTGATCAACTCAAAAACTGAAATGGGTCAAATTGACCCTTAACATAATACAAGGGTTAAGTCATATCTAGCAAACAGCAAGTACTTTGTTAAGATTGTTAACCGAATGGATACTTTTTATTAACTCCAATAATTTCATGAATTCTGAATATATCCTTGAGAAATACAAAGCAAAAATCCACAAGAAAAGGTTTTGGTCATAGACTTTGGAGTCCAGCATTTCTGTGTGGGGCCCTGCAGAGACAGATTGCTGTTGATGAAGTGAAGCCTAATTAAACATCAACATATTCCTTGTTTTTTTAGTTTTTTTTTTTTATATATACTATACAGTGTATGTTCACATATGTACATATATTTCACACGTATTGTATATTGGAGTTATCTTTTTTTTTTTTTTCATCTCCATGTACTTTTCCCATCTAATATGGTGGCACGCAAAGCCATATTTTGTATAAATGTTTACCTCTAAAACTTTAACATGAGCACTTTCCCCTTAAACACATCCAAGGCTGCTTTGTAATGCACTGAATATTTAACTAAACAACATTTCAAATAATACATCAATTTATGCTCTGATGGGTTTGTTTAGTGTATGCAAATATTAACAGCACATTTTCTTTCACTTACGCATAATGTAAAGAGCAGTATTTTTATTTTTTCATTATATTTTTGAATGCCTTATTAAGTCTGCATTTAGATAAAAAATAATAGATATGTAATATTTTATCTTCTATCTATGCATTATCGGTCTATCCATGAAATGTCCTTTCATGGTCACATGAATGAAAAAGATGACTGTGAATTTCAAAATGTATATAGGGCTTTCAGAAACAGGATACTATAATATTGAATAATATACAGTACCTATTTCCAGTGTCTACTCCTCTAACACTGCACTTTATCCAGCTTTACCTGGGCTTCACTTATAGTGCTCCTGCAATGGTCCATCCCCCATACCCCCACACAGACTACAGTGTGTGTTGTCTGCATATAATTACAAAGCATTTTTTGTAATAATTTCTTTTTTTCTCACAAAAACATGAGCATTTTTTTGGTGTGATTAGTTCAAGTAACTTTTCTCTTTGGCAGTGGTGTGATGCCCAAGCTCTGACCTCTGTAACGTCGATGAATGTGGTAGAAAAGTGAAGGATATGTCTGGACTGCTAAATGTAGCGTTGACTAGTTCTATTTTTTTCATTTTTAACTCAGTATTGATCTAGTTCATTGCTTTCAAGTCAAAACATTACTCCTCAGATTGAGAATATTGCATTGAGTTGGACCAAGCTTGAGTTTCTTAACTCCAAGTTAGTGCTATGAAAAATGTAACAGTATATCAAAGGTTTAGGATGACCTCTCTGAATGCTAAGTTCACTGTAGTTTTATTTTGGTCTTCTACTGTCTCTCACATCTTAGCAACACGCTTGGTTACTTTTTCCGCCTTTTCTGCTCTTACATTTTTGCCAAAATCACAAAAATGCAGCAGTAGCTTCTATCCTGGTGCCAGTAAATAGGTGAACATTGCTGCACCCCTAGCACAACGAATCACAATAGGGAAGTACTCATGGATGAAGTTTTGGTCCAACTTTCTCTGGCTCCTCTTGACTTAAACTCCTACAGCTCAGTAATTTGTCCGAAGAAGATATTAATGCAGACAGTGTGAGAGACTGTCAAAACAATATGGAAAAACTACCCTATGGAATAATGAAAAAGTTTGGTATTTGTTCAAAGATTGTTGATATGTTTGGAGAAAGATCTTATGATGGTGAGTTATGATGTTTCAGCTTGATGCTTTTGGTTAAAAAGAAGAAAACGTATCCACTGGCCATCCAAGATTCTCAAGGAAGCTGCCTTATTTTGCCATGGTATAAAACCTTGTGAATGATTGACTGTGAGTTAAAAATACAGTAAGCGATTTTGTTAGCTTAGCCGTAGCACCAACTCGAAACCACTCCCCCTACGCTCGCCTCTCCACCAAACCAAACATCCAGCATTTTATCTTCTTTGTCGGGGAGAGAGGGTGGCAAACACGCACTCGCGAGAAACAGGAAGAGGGTGAAGGGGGTAAACGCATCCCATTGGTTCGTTGGGGATGAATAAATTCCCTTGGTTTGTTTTTATCGGTCCACTCCAAAATATTTGTATAAATGTTTGGAGACTATAGGTATCTGGTCAATTCCATTACTATTTGAAAACACATGATAACTTGACTACTTTTAGGGTTTAGGTACGTTTTCCCACCATATAAAAAAAAATCTTGAATGAGGTCGACCAATCATTTTCAACTGGTACACACATCTGCCCGGTTACTACACACATTGTCAACGTATTTTTCTCATCGCTGATTATTCCAGATACGGTACTCTTCAAAGCCTCTTAAACTGTTTGTACCCACGAGGCTTAGCGCATTACAGATCTTCTCAGGAGAGGCAGCTTTGACCAATATCCCTCTAAACTACCGTCGAACAACAACAGTCACTCTTGTTTGCTTACATTATATTTCCCCTGTATTCATCATATTCCCCAACCATACATCACTTGTATTTCTGCCTCCTCCATCTGCATACATTATCCAGCAGCATTTACTTAAAGCTAATGGAAACAGTGATATATGCCCCTGCATGCTTTGTGACTGATTGCCTGAGAGCTGCTGACTTGCTCCAGTGCTAGCATCTTAATTCGTCAGGCCATTCCTCTTCTTTTTTTTTAACTTCAGGTGTGGTTTGTTTGTGCGTTTTGTTGACACGCCGAAGGTCACGCAAAACAGTCATTAAAATGCAGAGATGAAACGGCGCTGCGTGTAGCTTTGAACATTAAAAAGAAAAAAAAACATATAGTCATTTATCAGAATCTACTTTTCTCGTGACACCGGGGCCAATCCTTTTTCATAAGCTTGAGACCGGGGCAGGAGATTAAATTGCTTATTTGGATCCCGGCTTGTGAAAAGTTTTTTAGACTAAGTGCCTCCAAAAAGATGTAATGGTGTGGCTAAAATGTGGCGCCAGATCTGTTTGAAATTCACAACTAACAGTTTAATTCTTGAGTTCCGCATCCATTTACTTAGCACTTGGCAAAAAAGTGTTTTGCTTTGATCTCTACACAAACCAAGCCAAGCAGAGGCAATAAATAACATACTTAAAACCAACACAAGAGACTAATGTTTGCTTTTGCAGGTGTGGGGGCACTATTTAGGTTGAAAGTGAAATACAGATATATGTAAAGTTGTGTAGAAAGTGCGCCTCAAGTATTATTTGAAGTAGCTATTTTTGCATCACCTCATAGGTACTTTTTCATGACTAATAGAGTATTAATTAAAAAAAAAACATATTGTGTATTATATATTGTTTTCTAATTAACACCAAAGGTCGACTGATTTGTTCCGTTCAGGTCCAATATAGATAATTTATCGTAAAGGAGGCCGATAGCAGCTATATAGAGCCAATTTGTATTTGCAGTATAATTTGTTTGACCAGAAGGAGGTCAAACAAACACATTTCACTTCTCAAAAAAATTTGCCAATACAGCAGCAATAAGCGGTCCATAATTGTTCAACATCTAATTATCACCAACAAAAACGCATAACAAACTGATAAACCACAGCTGTTATTACATGTTGAAGAGACATTTTTAAAAGCAGTGTCCACATTTCCAACGGCGAGACACAATTTGAGTGATTTTTATTGAAGCGTCTCTATGTTTAAAAATAATGGTCCAAATAACGGATTTTGCAAAAAATTACGGCTTTTTCCATATTTTTACACTATAATATTGAAATCAATTAGAATGTATTTATTCAGTAATGGACAGTGATTCCAGAATCATTACGCAATACATGTTAATGCAAGTATTCGGTATTTTGAAACTAATTTGTGTTTGTGTGACCAGTGTAGCAGAACAAGGCATTCACAATTTATAATTATTCAACTTTTTCATTGTATGAACAAGGACTGCTCCATAAAGCAAGTAAAATTTACCGATACACTACGGCAAAAACATTCTGTGTTTTCCCTTTGGCGGAGCATAAGAATGTGCTTTTTCTCAGCTGCACAAATGTTTTTTTTTATCCTAATTCCACTGGGCTGTTGTGTCCACAGTTCCAGCCAGTATCTACAAAGTGTCTGAAGATGTGATCGTGAACGAGGGCAGTAACGTCACGCTGAGCTGTTTGGCCAGCGGCAGACCGGACCCCATCATCACCTGGCGACTGCTCAACCCCTCAGGTGAGTCTCGGCCAATCAGCTCTCATTAGCATCTGAGTCGCTCCGCAGGGCAGCCGCACTGTGTCTCATGTCCCTGTGTGGAGTCATTATTATAACATTAGAGATTGCACTGGTCAGAAGAAGAGCAGGTTTTCACCACAAGTCCTCTGCCCAGGGCCTAACTGATGTAGAGGTCGTTTTGCATGAGCGTTTTGGAGGGCTATTGTTTGAGTTAGTCCAATCTCGAAAAAGTGTTATTGTTTTAGCAGTCTATAAGATTTTCTTTTTCTACATCCTACTCTTGTTCTTCCTTTCATGGAATGTATTATTGTTGTATTTGCTGGATTATTGTTATGTTGTGTTGCATTACCATGAAAAAAGGAAACAAAAATAAATAATTGAATATTTGCTGGAAACAGGTCAAAGTCTTTCAAAATATTATCCAAAAATCTGTAATTAAACTTACAACGTGAAACTAATAAGACACTGCATTGCACATTGCACTCATTTCACAGCAGTAAAAACAAAAATTCAACAAAAATTCAGAAAATATTTTGAGTCTATATCTTATAATATTTTCCCATTTTATGCTTGAATTACAGAAATAAGTCCAAATTTAAACAATATTCTAATTTTTTGTGTTTCACCTGTATTTGCAACTGTTTTACAAAAAGATGTGGCAATGAAACAGGCTATATCAGTCTTATCTCAAGCTTAGGGCTATTTTTTCTCATTGTAAAGGAGACATTGGAGAACTTATTTTAAACGTAAAAGTGCATTCTGCAGCTGTACTGGTGGTGAACCCAGTTTTGCTTGGTTTCATATACACATTGCTGTTTTTCCTGGATACCTACACAAAAAAGTCATCAAACTTACTTCCTTACAGTTAACATGGAAATAGGCGTATGCATCCAAACCATATTAGCCGTTACGTACCGCATGAGTTTTTGCCAAGAAATCAGAGCCTAACTCCCAACCAGTGGTACGAATCCTGTCCGAGAAAAATGTATGCAAATGTGTATCATAATCTTAGCTAGCTCCAAAATCCATCGGCTCTTATTCCATCGGTATCTCCATCCATCCCAATGTAGACGCATGTAACAACAGTTTATTGGCGATGAGACCTGTGTGTCACGTTCGCTGTGCTGTTTCTGAGGGACTTTATCCAATTTCAAAGAGAAGAAATATGTCCTTCCTCCGATAAGCTTGTACCGTGATGGATGGCGATGCTTAAGTTGACAGCTCCGGGGCTTGATAACAGCTTTTGCTCTTATTCGTGTTCTATTTCTGTGTCTTTATCAATTACTGAGCAAGTTTGTCCGTTCTGCCGACATGTTTCTTCGAATGCATCTGCGGCCTCCACCTGGAAGCCTCTCTGCAGGTCTGTTTTTGTCTGTGTTGTAAAAGAGAGTAATCTGCCCAGTGTAATCCTGAGAGCCATATGGTTGAAACTGCTTATTGTAAAAAAAAAAAAAAAAAAGCAGTACAAAAGAAAGTGGTTCTTTTTTATTATTTTTGAGAAAGGAAACCATGCCCACAAGGTTTGGATGGTGGACTTAAAGGAAAAGCTTTTTAGTGTCTGTAGTGAAGAAAGAGTCGAAACTGTTCTGCTCAGAGCCTCTGTGCGTTTTTGTTACACTTTCAGTTCTTTTAAGATTTTAGTTTTTGATGTGGGTGGAGTGCTTCCATTGTAGAATAGAGACTGCATGGTGAAAAGTTGAACAAACTAGCTCTTTATAAAATGTTGTAAGATCCATGAGATTATATAATACAAAACTGGGAACGATTTATTAAAAGTTAGAAATGTATTTGGATGATAACTATTCAGTAAACTTCATGTCATTCGTGGATTTTTGTTGAGACAGGATTTAAAGATCCATCCATCCATCCATCCATTTTCTACCCTTTAATCCATTTCTGGGTCAGGGGGGTGGCAATCAGAGATGCCACCCAAGTCTCATAGCACCAGCCCCTCACTGACCCTCTGCAGGTGGTGAGTCCACAGGAGGATAAACTACACAATAGTTTATCATCAATCTTACTAATATGTAACTAAATGTTCTCCCCATATACTTTCGTAACGTTTTCTTTGGGGGTTGCTGTTTCCCTATATACAACTAAAAACACTGAAAAAGAGATTCAGAAATATCAGTTAGACTATCCTAATACATGAAGGTCAATCAAAAAAACACATTTGAACTGTGTGTTTTATCATTTTATTGACAGAAGGACAAACAAAAGTGTTTGTGGTGCTTACACTATCCTCCGTTGTAATCGCACCATGGCAGCTCGTCCACTCCGCAGAACCGAGAGGACCAGACGATGCCCAAATATAGGCGAGTTCTGCTAATCTCCCGGTCCCCGTGAAGTCCCATGCCCTGCTGAGCACAAGCCGTTCATTTGAATAGGGCGCCATCTTGGATCACCGGGGCTTGGTCTAGACCCTGAATGGCGACCCCATATAGGACAAATGCCCACAACAATTATAGAGCGCTTTTTGACTCTGGTCTGTGTAAGGCGCTACATAAATAAATATTACTTACTTACTTTCTTTCTTCTTTTGCACATTAAATACACTTGGCACTTGACTTTTGGGTGGCATTCTTCCCCTTATTTCCCTTTGATAAAGACGACTGTGGGCAGACAACCCTTGACTTTTCTTCTCCACACTAACAAAGCTGACCCATAGACTTTGCTCTACAGTCAGCTAAAAGCAGAGGGAATGTACAGACGAGATAGAGGTCTTACAGTATTTGCCAAGCCAGTCGATGTTGTTATTTTATCTGTGGGTGAGTAAGTCTGCCTCTCGCGCCACGATCTTAAGACCATCCCAATATCAAGTGCATGTGGAGACCGCTGAGAGAGATAATGATGTCTGGAAGCCTGCGGTGTCTCAGCTGTATCTTTAACCTGCTCCGGCTCTAGCGTTAGGCTAACACCGCCCTGCACAGCCAGCACCACTCCCAGATCACACATGCTAAAAGTTTTTGGATGGAAAAGATCAATCAAATGCTTTTATTGAAACAAACTGATTCCCATTATGCATATTTTATTGTAGATAGCGTCGGGAGTGTTGATTGCATTGACCATTTTGGAAATCTGCATCAAATTGGTTCTAAGAAATGGCTTTTTTAATCCATGGCTTTTTGCCGAGTAACAATAGAGACATTAACGTCATTGAGCGGTCAGTTCTGATTGGCCCTTGGGATTCCAGCTTCCACAAATGAGCGTTATATAGGGCTTTGTCAAGTCCTTCACAATACAATACATGTCCAGATACTCATTTCCACCTCATGGGCTTGACACACAGGGAGCGACGTCACTGCTTCTCAGTTTTCTATTGAACGTGTGTGACATGAAGAAAACTGTCAGTCCCTTTTGTTATGTTGTCAGGCAAAAGTAGTGCATCAGAAAACCTAGCGCACATGTCGGGCACGTGCAGGCAGGAAAAAAACATTTCAACTTTTGTCTTTGTCGCCTGCAGGCTATCAAAGAGTGTTTCTCTGATGGACCAATGATTTGACAGTTGATACCATTCATCTATTAGACTTCTATGGTGTTTCAAGTATATTTACAAGTTTAATTTTTATATTCATATTATGTCATTGTTACATGTAGTTTTCAATTCCTGTGTGTTATACAGGTGCCAATCATTTCAGATATGATATTATTAAGGAAAGATGAACATAAATAATGAATTACATTTCGCTAACTTCAACCAACTTCATATTAGTGCAATCGAACAGACATTGAACATCAGATTGTTGGAAGACACATGCTCTGCCCTGAACCGTGACAGAGGTGTTGTCTGAGCTGACTTTTTAAATGTTTGCTGTGGTTTGTCCATCCTCATGGGTCAACTTTTTGAGGGTGACCTTGGTCTGTAAAATGCGCTATATAAATAAACAGTACTTACTTACTTCTGATTACAGTTGGCCATTATATCATAGCCTGAAGAGGTTTGAAAACAGCTTTTAGGCTGAAGAGGCTGAGGAACTAGGGATGTGCTAAACAAATAAAAACAATTCTTTACTGAATTGTATTGAAATGAATTTGGATGTGCCCTGTATCAAGGTTGTATTGTGAAAGTCTAAAACATATCATTCACGCGTTTGTCACCTCAAGGCTCGACTACTGTAACGCTTTACTGGCAGCGTGCCCTAAAGCCTCTTTGAAGAGCTTCCAGCTCGTTCAGAATACAGCAGCTAGGATCTTAACAGGTACCAAAAGGAGGGAGCACATAACTCCGGTGTTAAAATCACTCCACTGGCTCCCTGTGGAGTACAGAATAAAGTTTAAAATCCTACTCTTAACATATAAAGCCATAGATGGCTTGGCTCCTTCTTATCTCCAAGACACGTTAGTGTCGTATCAACCAGGTCGAGCGTTGCGCTCACAAAACGCCAGACGTCTGGTGGTCCCTAAGGTCTCAAAGGTCACTGTTGGTGGCAGAGCATTTAGCTACCAAGCTCCTTTACTGTGGAATCAGCTTCCCATTTATGTTAAGGAAGCAGATACGGTCTCCACATTCAAGGCCAGGCTTAAAGCACTTTACTTTAATTTAGCATATAATTAGGTAATATATAATATGTAGTGTATATATTATATATATATGCTGTATTATGTTATATATTATGTTATATATTATTCAATAATGTATTGTGTTATGTTGTATATTATGTTATATATTATGTTATATATTATTCAATAATGTATTGTGTTATGTTGTATATTATGTTATATATTATGCTGTATGTTATTCTTTATTCAAGGCTAGGTTTAAAACAGTCCTCTTTAGTTTAGCATATGGCTAGGAAGGTAAGACTCGGAGAAGGTTAAACTCCTCAGAGTGTCAGTCAAGCTGCATAGGGAGTCAGTTTGCTGGGAGAAGTATGGTAACTTGAGCACTATCCTCTCCTCCTTCCTACTTTATCTGTTTAGCATTTTTAGGATTCTGACTGTAGTTTGTTCATTGCTATTCACCCGTTGTCCCATTGTCTGTTTCATGGTACGATGACGGG